GGGAGGTGTCGGGGGTGGAATTCCATGATCTTTAAGCTCCCTTCCCACCCAAACCATTCCATGAGTCTATAAACACACACTCCAACCCTCGTCGGAATTCCACAGCCGCAACTCCCACGAAACCCGCGGACGCGAAATCCAACCGGCGTTTTCCGACGGCGCCCGGAAAAACCCCCCGGACTCACCCCACGTTCCCTTTCCTCTTGATGATCTTGGTCCGACTCTTCACTTTATAGCTGGATAACAGGGCCTCTCCAAAGGATTTCCCTGCTCCGAGACCCACGGAAGCGGCGCTCGGAGCCACGGGAGCACTTCCGGGACACGGAATGTCGGGAGGCTTCCTGTGATCCTCGCTCCTCCAGCGGAATGCCGACTTGGAAGTGGAAGGCAGGGCCGGCAGGCTGGAGGCTTTCCACTTGTATTTGTTGGGAGAGACCCCCCCCAGCTTGGATTGCAATCCCGATTTTTTCGCCTTGGCTCCCAAATCCGCCCTGGGGGATGTTTTGGCTCCTCTTTCCGTCCCCCCGAGGCCTTTCCTGGAATTCTCGGCTCGGGGGCTCCCCCACCTCCTCACCAGCCGGCAGCTTTTCCCGGGATTTGCCACCCAGGTGTAGTTGTTCTTGCGGAATTTCGGGGCTTTGCTGGAGACGGGAGACTTGGGAATGACGGGAAATCTGCTCTTCCCTGGAATCACCCCGAGTTGAGCGGGCGGAGAGGGCACCTTGGCATTCCCAAAGAGTTTGGGGAGCAGGGAAGCGTCCTTGGCATTCCCAAAGAGTTTGGGGAGCAGGGAAGCGTCCTTGGCATTCCCAAAGAGTTTGGGGAGCAGGGAAGCGTCCTTGACTTCCTCACAGCTCTGCCCCGGAGACGGCGGCTCCGCTTTGATCCGTCCCGAATTCCCGGCCGGCTCCTGACCCGGAAATTCCAAAGGCTCCTGCGGCTCCGATTTCAGCGTCACGGCGCTTTCGCTGCCGCTTCCAGAGGGGGAAAAGCTGCTTCCAGCCACGCTTCCAGGCAGACACACGGTCCGGGACGTGGAACTAAAGGATATGGACAGGGAAGGTCTTCTCTCTTCCGGGTACGGAGATTCCGGGATACTTTTCCCATCGCCCGAAGGAGCCACCGCCGCTTCCCGCCCGGAAAACTCCCCGGAAGCTCCTACATCTCCAGCCCTCTGTGGCACCTGGATGCCCACAACGATGTTCCCATCCGTGGTGAAATCCACGTGTCTCTCCGGCGACGATTCCGGAGGCTCCGGAGCCGGGTTGTCCCCGTAGCTCCCGAAAACCCGGGATGTGCCGGAAGCGCTTCCAACCTCGGAGGCCGATCCCGGCAGCCGGTTGTCCAGGGAGTATTTCTTCCTCCAGGAGTGGGTCTGGCGCGGGTGGAAATTCCTGGGAGCTTGGAAATTCCTGGAAAAGGCTCCCCTCTGGCCGTAGGCGGCGCTCCGGGGGTTGTTCCACCTGGGAGGTGCCGCTGGAAGCGGCCGCGGAGCATCCCCGTGGATGTTCCTGTGGCTGTTGATGAGACCTGGGAAGGAGGAGACAGAGGGTTGTGAATCCCTTGATCCCGCGGGAATTTGGGAGCCGGAATCACGACAGGCTCCCGTTTGGGTTTGGATAAGCCACGGCGGAAGGAAAAGTCATGGAATCGTGGAATGGTTTGGGTGGGAAGGGAGCAGAAAGATCACAGAATTCCAACGCCTTCCATGGGCAGGGACATCTCCCACTATCCCAGGTTGCTCCAACCTGGCCTTGGACACTTCCAGGGATGGGGCAACCACAACTTCTCTGGGAATTCCATCCCAGTCACTCACCACCCTCCCAGGGAAGAATTCCTTCCCAATATCCCACCTAACCCTCTGGCACCGGGAAGCCATTCCCTATGTCCTGGCAAACCAGGAAAAACAAAGCCCTTTTTCATCCCTGGAATGGGCAGAGGATGATTTGGGTTGGAATCTTGAAGGTCATGGAATTCCCCCCCACCTTCCACAGGCAGGGACACCTCCCACTATTCCAGGTTGCTCCAACCCGGCCTGGGACACTTCCAGGGATGGGGCA